AGAAGATTTCTTTATCTTCTCCTAATTATTTATCACACTTAGTGATGAATGGATGCACTACAGCTATTCCATTAAAAGGGTTCTCCCTTATATAAAATTTATCAACCCTACGGGTGATGAGGAGGACCTATGTCTACTCCTAGTTGAGGGTAACTATTCCCTATTCCTTTAAACTAAATCCTATCAGGATTAAAAACAAAATGGTCCAATTATTCTTAAGAAGTTAATTTGGGGTGCTCGTCTGCGCTAACTTTGAACTACGGCAATACTCGGTAACATAATTATAACTAGATCTTACTCCCATCAATCTGGCCCACTATGCACATTTAAATTAAAATGAAAAGTTGTATCCCTTTATTTAATAATGATTTATTTTCGGTCCTTCCCTTTTTCTTTTCTAATAAAAGTTTAGTAACACAAATCGGTTATTAAAAAGGTTTTAACTCTAGTTTAATTTAACTTTTATCATAAGATAGTATGAATACTTCAATTATAAATTTACTTTGGTCGGTTCAGCCTGAGATTCCTTCCATTCAGCCATCTAAATTAGTTATTAAATCCTAATCCTATTTACAAACTCATATATACAACTAATTACAACTTATTTACAATTTCCAGAATGGGTAACCGACGATGGTTTCGCCAGGACCCATTAGCTCGTCAACGGAAGGGACGCTAAAAAACCCCTTTTTGCCCTCTGGAATGGGACAAAGACTACCGCGGTTATTTACAATTTATGTACAATTATCCAGACTGGGTAACCTGACGATGGTTTCGCCAGGACCCATTAGCTCGTCAACGGAAGGGACGCTAAAAAACCACTTTTTGCCCTCTGGAATGGGGCAAAGACTACCGCGGCTTAAAATAAGATCTTAACCGGCCTGCCCTAACATGGTTCAGAGCCATATACCCTTTATATACCTCATCTTTTAAACTACAAATGAGGATTGTCTCGGTTTCTGATGGTAATGATCTTTTTTCGCTAAACCCTTCTATTTTCGGAGACGTCTGTGCTGATATGGATGGTTCGACTAAAGCTGGGGGGCCTATATAGCATTCCTCAATTTCTAGGATCTCGTGGGTCTCCTTATCGACCTGAGAAAAGGATTCTCTGATCTTTATGGAATCTAATATAAAATCTTTCAAGGTTTCCTTCTGGGATTCTTTAATTCCTTCCTCTTTTTCACTGATTTCTTTTATACCGAGATTTTCTGATTCAAGTTCTAATGTAGAGGCTTCGTTTTCTTGTTGGACCTCTATAATTCCTTCTACTTTCGGAGAAGTCTTTTCTGTTCTGGAGAGTTCGACTGAAGCTAGGGGGCCTATATATTCTTCTTTAATCTTCCTATTCTCGCCTAAGGAGGGTTCGGCTAATACAGGTTCATCCACTTCACTAACTTCATTAAGTTCCTGTTCAGATTCAGGACATTCATTCTCTTGACCTTGAACATTTTTAATGTCACTTGTTTGATTTTCTTCCAATGATTCTTGGCTGACCTCTTCTTCTCCTCCTGTCTTTTTATTTATCTCGGCTATTGCTTTAGTGAATGTGCTGTCTATAGATTCCATTAGGCTTCTTTTCGCATTCCTAATACTTTCACCCATTGAGTCTATTAGATTTTCTTGCAGTTTTTTGTTGCCTTCTTCTATTTTCTGAAGGAGTATTAGAAACATGTTATTTCCTCCTGAACTAAAATTATCCTCTATCTTCTTATTGGCCTGTGGCTGGGTTTTCTTCGGGATTTGAATCACTGTTTCTTCAGTTGATCTCAGTTCTGGTTTTCTGGGTGTTTTCTGATCAGCTACTGCTTCAGATCGTTTAGGCTTTGGTAGTATTTCTTTTTCTACCCTAAGAGCCATCTTAAAAAGTATGTGCGTATATTATCCCTTTTAATTTAATACCTAATTTAACCTTTTAGGAAGGGGTTAAACGCTATCATAAAAATAATTCCCAATACCTTTAAAAAATATCCCATTAATAATAAACCACAATATAAACAAGCCACTTTTAATACAGACCATTAAATAGGAGAGTGAAGATTTTTCGATATTAAAAATAGGTTTGACACAAATTATTGAACCGCAGAATCAGCATAGTTTTTAAATCAACGCAGGAAAGAATTTAACTAAATTTTGTACGTTACAACACTCAATCAAGTTTTACAGTCATTACATTAAACAATCATTTTATATATATTAAATTATCTCAAACTAACCAACTTCATTACATTCAAATGACCAAATTAAATTAAATCAAAGATGTTTTCCTCTTGTACGATTCTTAGTACCAACTTATTACAATGCCACCTTTATTAATCATAGGAATGAAATACTAAAAAACCAATTATTTTAATCTTAGAAACAAATAGTAAATTTAATGATACGTCCTTCACATGGGATGCCATTTTAAATGCTATGTTCCTGGCCTCGCGTTTCTACGGCGAGTAAGGGGTTCCAGGAACCGCATTTATTTGTATTTATATGTATTTATATCGGTCCCAGAAGGGAACCGATCAACTTAAAATATATTAATGATGTATTTAAATGTTAGATACCACAGACCCCCTACTGTAGTATCCTAGATTGAACCATATACTCTTTATTGGATTTCCTTTCTAAAGGTATCATGTTTATAAATGTACTATTTGTTTCTATTACTAATTGGTGGCATGCAAGGTAGAATGTAAAAGTACTACGTTGGTTTACTAACTATTATATTTACAAGCTTAAATAAAACCAAAAACATCTATATACAAAATAATAACTAAACCTATATACATAATGAATAGTTAAGAATCATACGAGAGGAGAATGCTTGATGTATTGATTTTATTAATTAATGATGTATGGTTGCCAACACAAATTTACATTATTATAACTAAATGCTTGTTACCACTTAGCTGGTCCTTCATAGTGTTTCTAGCTGTCATATCTGGATTCCCTGTCTCTGCTCTCCTTCAGCGTCTAGTCCGTCCATCTGCTCTCTCCGGCTGTCTTCATCTTCCTCCCTCGACTCCCCCGCTTGTAGTCTCAAGAGCAAGTGTCTCAGCTCCGTCTCCCAAGCAAGTCCTCTCTCCTCCGAGTTCCAAAAAGAAGTGTCCTCGTCCAAGTTCTCTATCTCCCACCTTTTTTCATCCCCCTCTCTTTCGGCAGCCTTTTTGCTGATTGGCTGAATATCCTCAGCCTAAGGGATGACCACGCCCTCTCCCCCAGGCCAAGGTAAAGCAGCAGATACAGACTTAGGTATTTCTGGTGGAAGGTGTGAAAAGGTCTTTCGGGATCCTGTTTAAACACTAGTTGTCGGTCTTTGTCGGTGGTCCTTAAGGGTTTTTATTACCACTTACAAAAGGTTGTCCTAATGGGTTACCCTCAGTCAGGTACCCAACCGCCAGATGTTGGGTTTATACCTAAATATGTTTATATTTAGGTAATACCTAAATACCTTAATGTTTATTTGTTTATACCTTTAAACTAATTATTCCACCGACGGTCTTTACAATACATAGCAATATATATATATATATATATATATATATATATATATATATATATATATATATATATATATATATATATATATATATATATATATATATATATATATATATATATATATATATATATATATATATATATATATATATATATATATATATTCTGTCTTATATACAGATTAAGAGCTGTGTAATAATGAAAATTGCGAAAAGTAAGTGTTTCTGTGTAGTTTTGAAGTTTAATCATTAAGTTATATTTGCTCTAGCCTTTGAATGGTTGAAGATAAGATAGTAAAGTAATATATATTCTTAAAGAAAATGTAATATTAAACAACTTTTTTCCTCATGATTTTTTCGTAAAATAAAGATATAAAGAATTGGCGAGTAAAATAATGATAAAAATGCGATACAAACAATTTTTTTTTTCGAATATAGTGAATTACGAGGACGGATATCACGGAACCTGTAGAATATATAGTGTAGTAGATAGAAAGCATAGTTTCACTTATATAAACGAAAAGCCGAAAAAAAGGGGTAACTGACTATTATTTCATGTCTTAATGTTTCATGTGGACTGTAAATAATATAAATTGAAAGGGTTGGTTGCTTTATATATTTATAAGCTCTCTCTATACATACGCTTACAACTCATAAAGGGTCTCTATCTATCTTCACATGGCCATCATTTTGTATTCCATCTGCTATATGCTGGCAGACGTGCATTTTTCTCATCAGAGCTATGGATGTGATCAATTTATAACGAAAAAGCTTAGTATGAAATTTGACACATTTTTTTTCCACGGGCTCTCGGACTACTAGAGCTGAGGTAAGAAATAATAACTTCTACATGACGACTTATCGTGTATAAACCTATGAACAAATATAAAAAGTAATGAAACAAAGTGTAATGCGGATAGAAAAAGCATTGTTTTCAAGAATATTATTTATATCTTTCTCTCCAAAATAACTTGAAATAAATTAAAACATTAATCGTAGTTTATATTAAATTTAAAAAAAACCAGAAGACTGAAAACTAATAGAAAAAAAAACAGCTTTTTTTTCATACTGAAATTGAAGATTCTAATTATGTTTTTGGCCTCAACATTGTGTTAAACTACTATAAAATCCATCAAGGCCTTGGAGAGAAACTTGGGCCTCAGAGAGAATTTTCTCTGGGCCCCGTCAAATTTAAAATTACCACTAAAACCCAACCTAGTTTTTTATAAAATATGGAACAAAATGTTATGTAAAGATACTAAATAATTATTTTATAACATATGCAATGTTATCTATACTTTATTAAACAATGTAATAGCTAAAAAAATGAAACCTTGCAGGCTCATTCGGACACCGGGGCTGCCCCCCATCAAGTTCCTTAATACATCTTTACATGATAATTACTTTATTTATAAACTTCAATAGCAAAAGCTTTAGCTGTCAAGTCTGTAAGTGAGCCAAGTTGAATATCATAATTAAAAAAAAAAAATATTTCGGATGTTTTCATACCTATTATGCAAGCATAAAATCCGATTCCATTTTGCAACCGATTAACGTCACCATTCAATATCTTTATATAATAATTTTTCGTCACAATTTGGCAAAAATATTTTACAACATTTAAGACTTACTACATCATTATTAATTTTAACACAAATAATGTGAATATTACCGTTAAAACGCCTTGTATCTAATCCCATTTATTTCAGTCAGAGTGTCAACCAACCAACCACACGTGTTTGAGTGAGTTTCAAGTTACGATACGTAACTGAGATTATTAATTATAAACTAAAGGTTACATTTCAAAGAAGCATCTTTAGTTATGTAACAATTATATAAGATATTTATCTCACATCAATGTCTCATAGGTTTCGACAAACACGAGATCGGAAAAACCAGAATATATTTGATATCCGGAATTAATCTAAAATGTATGTAAGTTTAATAAATTATTTTCTAAAACGAGATAGTACATTCTTAATAGGTAATACAGTCTTAATTGGAGTTATTAATGGTCTGATTAATTAATCTAACATATTTGTCGTGTAATTATGTCCAAATACTTATGTCCGATAAGGAAACTAAGTTTCAACAATAATAATTTGTTGTTTAACAATTTAATAAAAAAAGAAATTCCCATTTTTCAGAATAAGTCGTCAGAAGCGATGTTAAAAAAAGTAACACATCCAGGATTTTCTTTATTTCCTTTTAAATTAATTTAGGAAGATTTTATAATTGTGCGGTTTTATCCTGAACCATACCAACTATTTTTTTATTTCAGGATTGTTCACTTCAGTGATATTTCTCACATTGCTTGATAGGATGTGCATACTTACCCAGGTCTACGCTCAGGACATGAGTGAAGAATCTGGCCAGTGCCAGTACTCCAATATATACATTTTTACAAAAGGTCGCGGGCCACTGCCGTTTTAACCTCCGAGGAGGATTGTAGGGATGACTGGAGGTAGATAGAGACTGTGCTACAGGATTAGGATGATGAGTGAGATTCTGGTGAAATTTGGAAAATTTGTCTGGGATTAGGTCAAGTACAAATGGGATATTAAGGTCATTGTGTAGGGTTTTATTGGTTACATAAAAGGGAGCATCGACTATTGTTCGGAGAACTTTAGACTGAAAGGATTGAATGCGTTTGATGTTGGAAAGTTTTGCTGTCCCCCACAGTTCGAGTCCGTAGGTCCAGATAGGTTTCAGGATTGTCTTGTAGATTAATAGTTTGTTCTCAACTGAAAGTTGAGATTTTTTATTGAGTAGTCTATATAGTTGGCCATATCGTCGGTTAAGCTGTTGTCTTTTAAGTCTGGTATGTGGGTTCCATGTTAGTCTTTTGTCTAAAAGGAAGCCAAGGTACCGAACTGTGTCGGAGAGGGGAAGTGGTATGGAGTTGAAATAAACTGGTGGACACGACTTGCGCCGAAGGGTGAAAGTGGTGTGTTTGGATTTAGATTCATTTACTTGGATGCGCCACTTATTACACCAGTGTTCAATAAGAGAGAGGTGACTTTGTAGGTTAAAGGATGCTGTTTCGGGATCTGAATTAGAAGATAGGATGGCCGTGTCATCACAGGGACGAATATTTGCGTTTTTTTCTGGACTACAGGACTAGAATCATCACTTCACCAATTTGACTTATTACTATTTTGTTTTTAGGATATAATTTTGTTCTATATTGTCAATATTTGAACATGATTTCACAACTATTTCAATAGTGAGAAAAAAGTTCCAAGAAACAAAAGTTTTAAATAATAAGATATATTTTAGTTTTCTCACTTATTTTTGGATTTGAACTTTTCACTAACTTGTAGCAAATGTTGATACTTTTAAACAATAATTTTATTGTCAATTTAAATATAACATCCCCTGCAAATATTTCTGTTCCTGAATTTTCCCCCCTTCATTTAAGAACTATATTAACATTTTTTTATATATAGTTTCTTCCTTTTTCTTCCAGAATAATTACCATTAGTGTTACCCAAAATCGGTCTTGGTCTTACATTTTGCAAGACCAATACCAAGGCCGCCTAATTGTTGCAAGACCAAGACCAGGACAGGTAAAAACAAATTGATTTTTAAAATAAAAATTAAGGCAAAATAGTTACTAATACTTGACAATCTTAGTTCCTACATTATACTAATAATTGGTATAACCACTATACTTTTGCATTTAACTTCTCTAATTTTTGATTCAGACTTAGTTAGGTTTCTCCTATATAAAAAATTACCGTAATATTTCTACAGTAATAAGCTAATAAGTAACTGTAAGACTGTTGCGAGACTCTTGCACAAGACAAGACCATGACCAAGACTGAGTTTGCAAGATCAAGACTCATCTCGGTCTTGCATTTGGGCATCACTAATTACCATTATTAAAAAATCAATAAATAAAACCAAAACCACCAAGAAATTAAATACTAGATCGTCTATTGACAGTTCGTAACATTGTGAAACTAATTTTTGTTTTATTTAGGATAAGAGAGTGGAGCATTTAATATAAAATTATTCCCAAAAATTAATATGTTAGAGATTCATGGCTTTATAGTTTGAATTTTTCCATTTATAACGTAATCACTATTTCTGTTTTTGATAAGCTTATGTTAATATATCATATATATAATAAATTAAATACTAAAATATATTAAAAACAATACAATTTATGAATTCAAGACCCCATTTATAATGCCGGATCCATTATGACAATTAATGGAATAATTTTCTAGCATTGCTGAGAATTGGACATTGTAGTGCAGAGTAATTTATTGATCATTTTTTCTGACATTTCCTGGCTATTATGTGTTTCTGAAAACTCGAAAAATCTCCTATAACTATTGAATAAATAATAAATTAAAAAAGTGAACGAATTTTGTTTAAAATAACATATTTATTAAAACCAAGAAATTAGTTTAATATGATTATTATGATATATATATATATATATATATATATATATATATATATATAATATATATATATATATATATATATATATATATATATATATATGATATTCTCATTACTAATTTAATTTGGGGGTTAATGGTTTTGTTATATTCTATAGCAAAACATCAATCTGAATTAGTCATTACATACATATGTATGTAGATATATACACATACATACATAAAGAATTTACTGAATATATATGTATGTGTATGTATACATACAATGCACTCACAGAAATTGCTCTTTATATGATAATTTAGGCAGGCCTACATACAGGCAGACAGCTGTCACTAATATAATTGGACTAATTCAGATTGATATTTTGCTATAGAATATAATAAAACCATTAACTCCTAAATTAAATTAAAATTAATTTTGTAATGAGAATATCATCCACATATGACAACAGCCTGTTAAAGAAGTTACTCTTATCTAAACCAAAAGATAAAACTAGCAGGTACAAACTGTCAAATGTAATAAACCAAATAGAACTATTAAATTTATCTTAATAACTAAGTGGAGCAAACATCTACATTAACCTATAGAAGAATTTATGCATACAAATGTCCTAGCTATTTGTTTCCTAAATAAGAAACAGGTTTAATTCTGACAAAGTTTAGGTCCTTTGTTTAGAAAATAATCAACAAAAAAGTTCATGGATATATATTTGTATTTAAAATATATGTATATGCATATACTGTATTATTTTAAATATAATTATTCAAATTTATCTCTGTAATTAATACTGCTCCAAAATTTATATCTATCATCATGAAGTCCTTTCTTCGCTTTGAAGCCATTTTTACTAATGTGTAAATAATTGTGTGCTTCTTGTGTCCATTTGTTCCAGCTCTCATCCTTTTCTGGTGACATAACTTTCCTGTAATACAGTATAATAAGTTTTCCAAAAACTCATCATAAAATCTATATATGTAAGTGAAGAAGGTCTCAGTTTTAACAAAAAATTATTTAGTATATTTGAACTTTGTAATTATCTGACTTACAATAATATTTTAATTAAATATATTCAGCTACATTATATTGACACTTATTAAATTTTTAATTGCCTAAACAATCATCAACAAGTTCAATAATTTAAATCCTAATATTCAATCAATTGATCTTAATTTTAAATAAGTTTTTATTGCCATATCTTTAAACAGTTATTTAACAACCCACATTGCTAATATTATCATTAAAATTTAAATAAGAATGAGATAATAAAATTAATAAGAATTATACTTACCCATATTTGGCAAAGTCAGTCCATATTTTAATAAGTTTCATCGAAAGTTCCAAATCTTTACCTTTCAGGGGCGCATACTTCTTGTTGTACCATAAGTATATAATCTCATCCACATGTGCAGCACCTTTATTTAAATACAGATGAATAGTATTAAAATGTATGTACTAATTGTAATCTAAATATAGACTGCTAGAAACTCTTTATTAATATATTATGACTTAAGGGCCAAGCACACAAGAAGCACTCTTTGAATTTTGCATTTTGCTCTTGCTATACATTAAAAAGTGTTCAATTACATACAAGATCTTAGAAATTGTGATTTGTGAAAATAATATTAACAATTGATACAATCCATTTTTTAAACATCACCTGAATTAATACAACTATAGTTTTACCTTGATTTGTTGCCAGTAAGGGTGAGCTCATATCACATTAAGATTTAGATTTTTCCCTAACCTTCCTATATAACTTACATAATATTTACTAATAAGTACATCAATTAGAAAAGTATATCATATTTAAATATATCTATATATTTGTGAATATTTTGTTTATAAAATCAAAGGTTTTGAGGGGGAAAAACAAAATAAATTTGAGTTTCAACATGCTCTCACAGGATGCAAACTAATCATGGTCAAACTATAATAAAATTTTTCCAATAATAATCCCAAACATCTAATAAAAATATTTTTTCTTGTCTATTAGCTGGCAATCTAAGGTATAGGCTAAACCAACAGATCTTGTTCAATCATTATATTTTTATTTATTCCTTCTCCTCTCCAAAAAACTTTTTAAAATCATATTCAAAATTTTAGAAAGTAGTTTTTATTCTAAATTCGTTATAAATAAACTTTGTTGCAATGCTATAAATGATTGCATGAACAATATAGTATTAACAAATAGTAATAAAAATGCCAAAACACAAATATCTTGGATACTTCAATATGAAAAAATAACAGAAAATAGTAGCAAAAAAAAAAAAAAAAACCTCTCAACAACCTCAAACCACTTTAATACAGTTTTTTAAATGATTCTAGACATTATAAAATAAAACTGTTTGAAAGTTAACAATTTTTATTAACAAAATAAAATAATAGTATTGTAATAAGTACATTCTGATTACCGAATGTATAATTTCTGTCTTCGGTTCCTTTTGTGTACTCCCCAACATAGTCAAAATAGTAAAAATAAGTATCTCCCGTATGTTTGTTAGCTGCATCAAAAATCCCAGCTGTGAAGTAGGCATCAGTATAGGCCTTGAATAAACAATTTAATTCATGTTTTAATTAATTATACAAAAGGCAATCACTTATCCACTCCATGCATACTATTTATTAACCAATCATTACAATTTAAATGAAAAAGTAACAGTAATAATTATAATTACAGGCCACTTATTACTTCCTAAACTTACCAGGGTAAATTAATTAATTGATAAAAATAATTAATATACAAAAAAAACACACACACACACACATATTACTTTATTTTTATTAGGAAAAACGTTTTAGCAGGGAACAAAACTAATTCAGCAAGAAGAAAATTCAGAAATAAGACTGATTGACCAAGCATACAGCCTTTCAAAATTCAATGACAATATCATTAATCATCTATGATGGAGAATCTTAAAAAACAGATTCAAAAGCAATATAACATCTATCATAACATAAATAAAGATAAATATAACATCATAATAATATCAAGTGGTAGTACATGTACAATCTATTGAGGAGACATCCCTGCAATCTTCTGAAACATCGTAAGGTGTAGGTTCCCCTTCAGAGTGAGGATGGCTTTTCGTTCATTTCTGATTAGGAAAAATCAGAGACATTTGCTAATCACCTCCTCTGATTTCAAACCACTCATGGACTTCATAGACACAAAATATGAGACCTTTATATCTGAAGCACTAAAGATCAGACTAACACTGTCTTCTTTTATACAAGTGGGAGTACACATCAGATGGATGGTGAAAAGAAAAGCACCAAGTTTGTTACTAGGTGCTTCTCTGTAAGCTCGAGAATGTATTATCACTCCTATACTATCTCATTCTTTGAGCGCTTGACAGGCACAAATTAAATATACTTTCAAATATGAGAGTAACTATGAGAAAATATTTTTAAAGCGACATTCAAGATACAATTATTTAAAAAAATTATTTCTTTACATTAGTTAAGTTGATCCAATCTGCTTTAGTTATCTCCCTATTGTTAAAATAGAAGTGCTTGATTGCTCTAGTCACCATTTCAGGATTGGAAGTTGAATCCAAATAGCGCAAAGACAATGGTGCCACCTTTTCAAAGTTGTTACTGTACCATTTAAAGTCCATGTCATAATCAACGAAATCTAAATTTAAAAAAAAATAAGAAATTACAAATTTTCAGTTAATGATTTTACTGGATAACACTAAATTAGTCAGATTTTTGTTAGTATTTTTATTAAAGTAAATAATTATAATAATATCAATTTGAGTTGAGTTGATATATAAAAATAGAAATAGAAATAGAAAAATCATCTTTATTCTGCGATAAAGACTCATAAGAATAACAATATTGTTCCTACAAATACTCAATAAATCTGGCCAAAAGACCTATTACAATTCTGTTCTGAGGTTGTTCTGAAGATCACATCTGTGACAATATCGACATGTCTTGTATAGCATTCACTGTCGATGCAATAGACCTTGTCAAAGAAGCAGGTGAATTCCTTTTCTCTAAGGAGCCTCATCAAGTCGAACTTGACCCAATGGTGCCAGCGTGCTATGAGAAGGGAGTCGTCGGGAGCATTTTACCAGCACATGGGTTGGTGTTTTAGTCTCTCTGCCGCATTTACAACAGAGGGACCCAACTTCTCTGATCTATCCGCTGATACCCAGGATTCCATGCAGAAGTGTATAATTGATGTTTAGTATCAGGGCATTTGACCATTCAGACCCAGAAAGTACTTGCTTTTCATACACGTATTTATTCGATTCATGTATTTATTCGAGGCTATTTAAAATGACGAACACCAATGCTCTTCCACCTGCAATTCCCAAAAGTGATTCAATTTGAGTAAAATACTTGGTACTCGGTACTCAAAGTAGCATATGCCCATCTCTGGGTACATTGGACAGTCGCTGAACAATGAACCAATGTTGAAGAGGAGCCTACCACTGGCAGCGGATTAATCCCAATCCTGAATACCTCCTGGATATATAACTCACGTATTTACTATAAATATTTAAATTTCTAAAAACAAAAGCTATGAACAGTATTTATTTATCTTCTTTGTTATCATGGACCAAGGGATCTACAAACCTCTGGGAAGACCACAATCCTCTGGGAAGACCACAATAAATTAAAAATATCCCTCCAAAATTGTTCACGAGATAGTCCAGTAGATATTTAACATATTTTATAAAAATAGATTTGGTGAGTAAAGAAAACTTCCCGGGGTTCAAAGAGTTTATAAATGGCTGGAAGACGGCGGTGGGTCCAGCTCACTTCAACCTAGGTGCACGTAGGAGGAGAAGAGGACCAGTCCCAGGAAGACCTCCGGATTCGGGAAGCCAGGCCTAATTTGCTGAAGAATGAGGAAAAGTAGAAGAGCTAGCTATGTGCACAGCTTTGAATTATGTAAACTGATATTATGGCAGTAGTGTGTTATTATGCATTAATGCTTAACATCTCACTACTGCATGCACCCGTGTTACCCTGGTAGCATGGGAGGGTAGAAAACAAATAAAAAAATATTTTATAAAAAATACTTCTCAATATTTATGAGAATATTTTCTGAATTAGAAAACTAATTCCACACAGTCCACAGTGCCCCTGACACCTTATGTAAAATATGACTTTTGAAGTTAATGACAAATGTTTGGCCAAAATTGAACAGCGTGTCTGTCCCTGTGAATGAGAACAGTATGAACAGGGTGTGAATAAGATGGAACAAGGTTAAAGGTTGTTGAGTGTCAGCTTCATTTAATTTATTTATTGTACATCTCAATTCTTAAATAATATTTGTTTATTTTTTATATTGTAATGTAGTATTGATGAAACCATTCAGCACCATTATGAATATTATTATTTGGCATATTATCAATAACAAAATTATACTAAAAATCACTAACTGATCTTAAAAAGATTAAGTGGGAGTGAATGACTTTTTTTCCTCCTAATAATGAATATTTTAAGTCTCACATTTTGTTCTTTGCAAGCCCTCAGCAGATGTTGTTCCTATCATCATAGGAATCTTGTTTGGTTCCCAACTTCTAATTGGTCCAGTCACGAGTGCTCCAGGTATATTTGGTTCCAATACTGGCTGGAATAGTAATAATGGATCGACTTGCCATTCCTGAAGAATAACACAATTTTCATAAAATTAGATGTCATAGTCCATTAATCTATGTCTTAATTTCAGAAGGATATGTTGAAATTTCAGATTTTTCTTTTCTTTTATAAATAAAATACCATAATATTTTATATAATGAAAAAATGATCTGAAAATAACAAACAATGTTATTCATCTGACGATTTTTTTTAAATTTGTAAGTTGTATGGTAAAAAATAATTTCAATATCATTGTACTATCGTTTATAATGTAGGTACAGTGTAATGAAAATGAAAAAAAAGTTAACTAACAATATGAACAAATGTTTAATTCAAGGAACTTAGAAATGCTGAACTCACCCTGAAATACTTCAAGTGACCAACCAGATCTTTGGCATTTTTTTGTTGAAGACAGAGAACTGTTTTCTTAGTATCTTCATGAGGACATGAAAGCAAATTGGCCAATTTCTTAGCCCTTCTTTTAGCTACTTCAGGTGGCAACAAGTTTACCATGCTGTAAATTGAACCACTTTCTACAACAGCTCCTTGAAAAAATCCTATAAAAAATATTATAAATTTAAAAAGCTGAATTTATAAAACTAAAATTAATTAATTTATCATGTGATATCAATTAATCATGTAACAATGCAGGAAGGTCTAATCTCAGGTATTTTGTGAAATATTTTTTCATTTCCATGATCATTTATTTTATTTTATTATTTAATTACATTTTGTTGTTTTACAGGAAATAATATGTTCCGTTTTGTGTATTTTCATGCTCATCTTAAAGAAAACATTGTTATTCTTTTGATTATTTTCTTATTTATCTCATAATAGTCAAAATTTACATTGCTCCTTTTCATTTATCATACATTTACAATACCTTAAAGAGGAACATGATACTTAGTAATCATCACAATTTTTTATTTAGAGCAAATCTTCTTCTATACTTTGTTGTGAAATTTATAAAAAGGCAAAGGAAGAAATTAAATCCCCAAGACAAATTTATGGTGATGCTCATTTTTTCTTCAAATAACCATTGATAAACGAATTGAAATGAATTTTAGAATTTTTTTTCCTTAAATTGGTAAACTTTTTTTTATATTTGAGACAATAAGTCAATAAATAACTCAAATAAAAAACAAAACAAAAACAGTGATTTAATTGCTATTATATCTTACATACACCTGCCTTTACTCATAGCAGAAATCATATGATGTAAGACACTCCCTCCTCCAGCACTTTCCCCAACCAGTGTCACTCTGTTTGGATTACCACCGAATCTGGCAATATTTTTGATCATCCATCGTAATGCCATGTTTTGATCCTTCAGCCCTTGATTGCCTGGCATGATGGTATCTTCCAAACTTAAAAAGCCTAAAAAATGTTTTTTAAATTTATCATTTTTGAAAAGTAAAACATAATGAAACAAAAGTTAGTTATTTTCTTTAAGAAAAAAAAAAAACAGATTTGAAAATAATGTATATTATAAATAAATCTTGATTATTTTTCAATTAACCAACATGAGTAATATCAAATTAACCAACTAAAGTAATTCTTTAGTTTTTCATTAAATCATCAAAATTTTCTAAGGGTATATATTAGTTATATATATATATTTCCTATTTGGGGCTAGGGTAGCCATGCAGGCTAAGGCGCTTGCAATAGGTAACCAAGTTAAGCTACGCCGAGCATGGTAAGTAAGCACTTGGATGGGTGACCGCCCGATTTGGGTGATTGTACACCAGAGAAACCTGCCCCTATGTTTGGTTTGTTTCATTTCAATTGTTTTTAGATATGACTATTCATGAATAATTCATGGATTTCATAATTTTAAGAATAAAATTATGATTATGTGGATTATATAATAATGCTATAAATAGAGATATCATTCATTGATTTGATTTTGGATTTTCGCTTATTGCTATTATAATTTTTGACATATATATTTATAATTATTGTGTATTTGTATTATAGATATAATTATTCGACTTGAAAATAGGCAAAATTTCCCAAAACGTCTTCAAGAAATTTAAAGCATTAAGTAAATGTATAAGGGTAAAATAAATTGTTTTCCTTGATATTATAAATTTTATTGTAATTATTAGGTGTATTGTAAAATTTAATTAAATTAACCTATATAACTAGAGGTAGATCTTTCTTCATAAATATAGCTATTGCTGATTTATACAGAGTGGGTTATCATATGAGAGGGCAGAAAGGGAGTGATAGAAATAATAATATTTGAAGTAAAAAATCTCAAACAATCAGTCAGCAATTTTCAGTTGAGCTATGATCAATAGAAAAGAGATATTTGATTTCAGTAAAAAAAAAAGTGCTAGTGAACATGGCATGTCAAAACACTTATTCATTCAGATAATGGTACAGCTTACCCAATGCCAGAGAAATAGAAGTAGTAATATTTTTAGTTGAGAAAACTGGTATGATTTAGCATGGTCTCCCTTCATTGGCTCTTCATTATTTGATTTAACTGCTATCCATAAGTTACAAAGCATGCTTAATCCCAAATAGTATAATCAATTGCTTACCCAATATACCAAGTCGATAGTTCATGTCCATCACAACCACATCTTCATCCATTAGATATTGTGGGCCAGTTATGGATTTATCACCAGAAAAAAATCCTCCACCATGTATATGAACCATCACAGGAGCAGAACCATTCACCTGATTAGAAATTAAATTGATTGTTTTTTTTTTTGTATTTAGCAAACTATTTTATGCTAAAGCTATTTATAAGGATATAAATAAAATAAGATACCATATAAAATAAGGATATAAATACCAAATATTAATGTTATGTATTAGTGAAAATTCAAGAATAAATGAATATTTGAGATAAAAAAACGAATAAAAAATATAAAAGCTTGTAGAAACGTTAAACACTTGTACAACTCTATTTAAGGTCTTGGATTCAGTTCTTAGCAAATACTGTTTGTTGGTCAATGTAAAGTTTTTCCATTAATTAGGGGTACTTAATCTACAGAGACTAGATGTATAAGGTCATAAATTTTGTGAGAAGGAGTTAGTCGGGGGTGCGGTCAGATAAATACTAAATTAAAATATTAATTATTTTAATTTAGTATTTATCTGACCCCACCCCCGACTAACTCCTTCTCATATTATATCAACGGTCAACCATCTCTACATCGTCATAAATTTTGGTTTATTATTTCTAATAATGAATCATTGCAATGACAAAAATTCGACAGTCATCATCTAAACAAGAAACCGCTGCAGTGATTTTGATGAAATTTGTCTTAAAGTCTCTTTAAAGCCATTACAATTTATTTATTTAAAACACATAAAAGAAAAGAAGCTCAGAAAATTTGAAACTAAAAAAATATATTGTCAAAGAACTTATAGATTTTTTGAAAGTTAATGAAGTAACCTAAAATATATAATAATAAAATAATCATCGAAATTAAAAATCCGTTATTGGGGTTTTGAACTTTATACAAATGTTGATAACTAGAAAAATATACATTTCTCAGGATATTACAGAAGGTCATATGAAGATTAATTATATCATAAATAAAAATAAATTGTTTTTTTAACTGAAACAAAAAATTAAGTGACTTTTTTCAAAAACTGTAATTATTTTCCAAATAATCACATAAGTATTAATAAAAGATTAATTTTTAGATTCAATTAGTTACGAAATCAAACTTTTTTTGAGTAAAACAATTTTCTCACTAATAACCACACACAGGAGTGCCCCTTTTTTAGGGAGGGCATTTTAACATGATTATGAATTTCGGGAATGCAAATTTTCAGAATAAGGAGCAAGAGGAAAACGTTGAACAGATAGCAGCAAATATAATGGTGTGTGATATATGATTTTTCTAATTCTACATTCCCATACTCTGTTTTTAAGAAAGGATAAGCAATGAAATATCTTGGAGGCGGGGTAGGCTCTTGTGCCATCAACTGTACCTCTGATCACACACATACACAAACACGCGCACAGGCACACTCGCACTCACGCATATACACGAAATCGCACGCGCACGCGCACACACACATACATTCAACATAAAGACTTACATCATGTGTAAAAACAGACAAATGGAGACAGTCCTCTTCTCCAACCACTTCAGCATCAAGTTCAAACATGTTATACTGTACACAGAATGGACCATCCTCAGTGGCATTTTTTATTCCAAACCATGGTTCCACTTCCTGTGGGGGCTGCAATGTATTATGGTATGTTTTATTGGTTAGATAAGCATTGAGTAATATTTTTTGTTAAATTAAAATAATAGCATAACAAAGATATTTCTAAGCCTGGAAATGTCCAGTGTATGCCATTATCGGATTTACAGACAGGTAGTCACTTGCCGAGGGCGGCAATTTTCAGAGAATGAAGATTTTAATGAAATTGAATTTATGTTAAAAGACATTCATAAGTATAATTCATCAATTAATCATCCATAAGTATAAAAAGTACATCATCTTAGTTTTTTTAATTGATAAGCAATAATTTTTTTTTTTTGTCATAGGTACCGGAGCTTAGGAAATATTGGGCGGGGGAAATGAATATTGATCTACATCCTCTGATCAACAAGGGGAACAAGGATGGTAAACGCTAGAAACTGTGGAACAGAGGATTTTTATTGGAATGGTTGCTGGGAAAGAAGGAGGAAGGAAGATCTAGTCCCCAATAACTGTAAAAATAACAATCCTTCAGTTAAGAAACAGGCTGGCGTGATACGAAGAATAGCTCTGGTGCGCGCCACCGGAGCCTACGTTTCAATGTGATACCTCATCGACCTCCTCCTTTGGAAACTGCTGAAATATGTATATTAAGAGAGAAGTCTCTACAGGACATCCGGAAAATCTCCAGATGGAAATTATAGATGCAAAAAGATAATTTGGGGGGATACGATTGAGGTATGCAACAGGTGGTGAGGCGTTGAGGACCACGTTAATCTACGTTTTCACCGAAGAGTTTCCTCATTTATAAATAATTAAATTTTCTTGTGGCTTAGACATTTAATTTGTGGCTTGAAACACGCTCAAAATCTAGGAGCTCAAGGTCCGTTGCCTGGAAGACTTCCGGAAGATGAAGTTTGCCGAGAAAAGGAGCAATAGAAGGACCCTGTGATAGTCTGAAGATGAATTTGATTGTCAATGTTGTATTAGACAGGTGTGGATGAAAAAGTAAAGTTCATTTTATACTTCTATATTTATTCGATATAAATAAATGAATCACCGTTAAAATAATCAGGACATCAATTGCTCTTATATCCACCACAATTCTAATCTTTAACTACTTTACTATAAGCGTATAGATAAGCACTGTCGATGTCTCACTGTCATGACAATAGTACCACGACAGAAATTTTAACCATGCAAACGAAGCTTCAGTAGTGCCTATAAATGTTTATTAATTTATTAATTATAAGGTCAAAAATTATTTAAAAAATAAACTTAAACACACCTGGAACCTAAGCTCGCCTACAGGAGCTTTGGCAAAAGGTATACCTGTAAAGGCGAAATAATTCCTTCCCGATCTGGAAGTAGACGTGAAGCCCCTCACCTTCCCAGAACATGTCTCTACTATAGGTTGATCTTCGGCTGAGGCCGTGAACACAAGCAGCAAAGAAAGTAGAAACACACTTCGCATTTTAGCACGTAGAACATTAAGATTCTAATGGAAAAAAAAAATTTGTACAGGACATGTCTTATCAGTCTAAATAAATTTACAACATGCTTACAGTAGGTTGTATAAAGTAAATTCGTTAAGACTATGAACATTATTTTTATAATTTATGGTTAACAGATTATCATTTTTTTTGTTTACTAATTTACAGTGGTTTTAATGTATTATATGTACTTTCTAAGGAATCTGAATCGAACTAATAATTATTCTACCTAACCAGAACTAAAATAAAGAGAGTTTTTGAAGAGAAAACTTCTTTGGGCGCGTTTTGCACTTTTTTGTGGAGAGTGAATTAGATTGATACGTCAGATTTTAACGCTCGGGTAAAGTCGGTTAGAGTCGACTAATTGAAATATTTTTACATATGGATTAAAATATCTCTTAAATCTAAAAATCGGACCTGCGTATTGTTAGCGAGGGAAATATTCACAATTTTATCTTCTTTCTAATGATTTATTCTTCAAAATGTATCTTAACACAACGCCGTGTTAGAGAGACGAAAAGGAAAAAATATAATATCGAAAACCAAATTATATCGAGTTTTATTGAAGGTGTGGATTAAAATATTTCAGACACTGAAAATCGGACCTGTATACTATAAGCAATTGAAATGTTTAGCATTTCATCTTCGTTATAATGAGCTATTATTTTATTATAGTTATAATTTATATTTCATATTATTGATCTCGCCTTGTTGATGTTTTCACTTCTTTCGTGTGGTCTAAAGCACACCTTAGATTTTGTTATGCTTTTTTTAAATAAAAAAATCAACTTGAAAAAATACTTCAAATCGGTAGTAATTCAAAGATTTAATTGTTTTTTATCGATAATTAGTCTGAAAGAAAAAAGAAAAAAAAAACGTGACATTTCATAACCTTAAATAATAAAGAACTTTGACGATTTTTTCCTTTGTGAAATCAGAAAATTGTGCTGCGCTGGTTCAACTATTATATATTTGATATATAGATGGGTTTTTGTCATTGTTTTGAACTTACTGTGTATCATGTGTTCGAAAGTTAACTTATATCCAAAATACACTCACATTAGTGACTTTTTCAATAAATTGACGAAACGAGCTGTGCCCGGATGGGGTTTTGATGCTCCACCATCAAAATTTTTAGAGGAACACATATTGACGGGGTTTTAAATTTTTGAGGGGGGTATATTTCGACAGGGTTTATGATTTGGAGGGTAAAATTCATGCGTTATTGACCTTGGTCAGGGAGGGAGGGGAGGAGAGAGGAGAGCAAGATGGGCGCCCATGGCGAAATTACTTATATTTAAGTTGCTCTTGAAGTAAAAAAAAAAAAAAAAAAAATTTATCACAGATAAACGTCTTCTAATATTTCTTGATGGGTGCTTATATTTAGTAGCTATATATGTATCACAATTTAAAAAGAGAATATTTGATACAAACAAAAATGGAAGAATGAAAAAAAAAAATGTTTGCCTCCCACCAGTTGATCCGCCAGTGATTTAAATGGACAAATCAATGACCATTAAAAGTTTTAACGGTAATACTGTCATTAGCTTCAATATGGCAGTGAGAACCGCAATACAGTACAATGTCCCATACGAAATTTTGAACTTTTATAGAAGATATTTATTTTTCTTCAAAATTAACTGCGCAAGTGTCTTATTGTTGTTTTTTTTTTATATACCCGCGTTTCTCCATCATTCTGTAATTTTTACTAAATTCCACTTTTGTATTCTCCTCCCAACCAGGGGGGATTATGAAAAGTTAGGGTTATAAGCGATAAAAAGTTCAAGAGCTCCGTAAAAATGAAATGCGAACAAACTTTTAAAGCGTGTGACTTTGAGATGACTGGCAAAGGTAAAATTCAGGAGATTGTGGAAGCTAAATTTAGAGGGGCCTTAAATTCCTTTCTTAAAATCTGAATATGTGCCGTATATGTAATAATATAATGTTAGTTATTAATTTTATTTCTACAAATAATATAATTTGATATTGTAATGTTGTGCTCAAAATACTCTTAAAAATTGTTTGAAACACAACGATAAATCATTAGTTTTTAATCATTTTTATTTTAGAAATAAAAAGTGTGTTTATACATCCGAGGTCATGGAAAAAAAAAGAAAATTGAAGCTATGCGATAATTTATTGTAGCTAATTTTGCTGAAAACAGATACAGTTAGGTGACATGATATAAAATCACTTTTTTTTTTTTTTTTTTTTTTTACACAACCGGAGGTTAATCTCAACTTTTCCCCAAATAAACACCAACTTAATTAATATGGGTTTAAAGTTTACTAAATGAGGAGATCTGAAAATTGGGTATATGTAGTATAGTTGAAAAATTATATTAAAAAATCGCAAATAACTGCTGATCTTTTTTAAATACAGAACTTAGCCGCTCAAAAATTCCTTTCAAATGGTTATAACAATTTAATTTAAAGTAAATTTTGTCTAATATACTAAAGAGGAATTACTAATTACTTAAATTAAATATTTTTTTAGTTGTCGCTTACTATTTAATAAAAACGTGACTGAATTTAAGAAAAAAAAGCTTAATTTTTTTTTACAATGTTTACATATACTTTTTTTGTATTTTTTTAGATCGGCTTTCACTCTTATAAATATTTCCCTTTACTTACAGGACACTTTGTATATGTTTCATCATTATTTATATGTTTGTAATAGCATTACAATTTGTATATTCAATTTTTACAAGAATACATTCATTTTAACAAGAAACATATATAAATAATTAATTATGAGTTTCTATTGACTGAATTAATTGATTATATCGCAAAAAAATACCCATTATCGATATTATTTTGAAAGATTAGAATAACAAGTTTTTTTTAGATTTTCATCTTTTATATTGAAATTTGGTCATTCTGAGATGATTGACAACACGGGCGGATCTACGGGGGGGAGGAGGGGCTTTCGGGCTGAAGTCTCCCCAAAATGGAAAAATATAACCATGTTTTATGGGAAATTTTTTTTTTAAAATACCTCTTAAAGTATTATTGTTCGTGTAATTACATTTAAAATCACTTAAGGAATCACTTAAACACCATTTCATATAGGTAGTTAGTTTCTTTCTGTTTTTCCAAAGTAATTATCGTTATTTTTATGAAAAAAAAAAGGTTTCGGGCTGAAGCCCCCCCCAAAATTAAATTCTGGATCCGCTAGTGATTGACAATTTTATTTATGTATATTAGGTCTAAACTTTACATTTACATACCATAATTTAAATTTAAACCTGCCAAACAGCTGTTCAAAGAGCACACGTTCAATACAGAGATTTTACATACAACATACATTTTAGAGTAAATGATATAACTGAAACGAACAAGACTGACATTGCATGCCTTATCTTGCTTGGTCGCCTTTCTCTTTTTGATTAAATCCTCCATAGGGAATTTGATATTCATATCAGTAATTACATATTATAGTGTTTCCAAGACCTCCCTAAATAAAATTTTAAACAGAACCGGTCAATACTGAATGACTAACTCCAATTTCAACATTTTTGAGTAATGTAATTTTAGTAATATTTCGAGGAAAAACAATACGCAACCGGCGTGTTTCTGGATGGTGCCCAGCCCTTCGATAAAGTCTGGGACCAGGGACTTCTCTTTAAACTCATAACACTACTACCTCATTCTCCAATCTTTTCTTTTCGACAGATTTTTCTCTGTCCGACGAGGCCTAAAAATTTCCTCATTCGGACCAGTGTTAGCAGGAGTACCTCAAGGATCAATACTGGCTCTTTAACTTTACATTATATATACGCATGACATACCTATCAACTCCAAACCATTGACCGCCACCTACGTTGATGATACAACAATTTTAACAAAACACCTTAGCCCCAGACTAGCCTCAATGAATTTACAAAATGCCTTATTGACTTTACAAAATTGGTAGGCACTTTGAAAAATAAGATTAATTCATGACAAGTCACAACATATAATATTTACATTCGACGAGAAACGTGTCCACCAGTTTACATAGGAGAGAACCAAATCCCTCAGACAAACACGGTACGTTACCTGGGACTAATATTCGACAGAAGGATGACCTGGGATGACCACACATCAAAATGATAATACATACTTTAAACGAGCGACTGAAAATACTGTTCTAATTTTTTTAAACCACTGCTTTTATAAACCAAATAATTTCAATCTCTGAATTCTTCAGTTCACAGAATGGCTTACTCCAATTTCAACATTTTTGAGTAATGTCGTTTTAGTGATATTTCTAGTTGGAAGAGTTATATCTATACAGACAGTGAGTAAGTTGATTTCAGAGTAGGTAATTACAGTGTTGAAATATAGAACTGCGAATAAAGGTATAAATTTTGTCACTAGAAACATCACTAAAATTAATAACAAAGAATGTTGAAATTCGAGTTAGTCATTCTGTCAACTGAAAGTCTCATATATATACCTAGAGAGATTTGAAAGTACATCTAAATATTTAGCATATAAACGATTATTGATTATAGGTCTATTAGTTATTAAACTGTTATTTTCCATTATAAAGTTTACTAAAATAAAATTACGGGATTTTCATTGTCTGCTATGGATAGTTCAAAAGTTCTCACAGTAATTGGATAATGTTGAGATTTCACAAAGAGAAAATTCATAACATTATTCACTAATTTAAGTTTTTAAAAGGTTACTTGATGATTTTTCGGAATAAATGGCCGATATATACCTAATTATTTAAATATAATAGTTATTAAACTACAGTAAATGTATTTAAGGTTATAAACATATCCATGAAATATTTTTATACTTAACTTCATCTTTCACACAAGCACAATGTATTGTAAACAATGCCATTGTATTGATTGGGTGGAATTTAAGTACTTTTGTCAAGCTTAAAACAAATAAACAAATAAGTTTACATTTAGTAAGAAAATTTCATTTAATTTCCTTGAAAACATGTGATTTACGTTAAATAATGTTAGTTTTCTGAAATTATTATTTATATTTTCTTTGTCACTCTCCGTTACCTTCCACGGCTTTATTTATTTGATATTATTTTTTCTAAAGTTCTCCAACGATATATTTGGTATACGTATACCTTCTGACTATTATTTCCGAAGGTTCATTTTCGATAAGAATTTTTCTCCATTATTCAATTATCAAATTCTTTCAGAAGTTATATTTAGCATTTTTTCGTAACTCCTAACAATGAGAGATAGTTCATTATTCAAAATAAACCAAATTAAAGGTACTTTAGAGGAAGAAATGTTGATAGTGGGCATTCAAGCTCTGTAAAGTGACATCAATGGGGATAAGACCTGAGTGATATTAAAGACCACTTAATTATAAAATGATAGTTGAATCAAAATCTTTGAAGCCGTTTTTGGGAAATTGTAAAAATATGTTTCACCGATGATATAAAGTGGCACTTCCGGTTAGCCGATTTTAAGGAAAAAGTTGCTGTAACATCTCAGTCATATACCTATCTTAAATACGTAATAGCAGTTTCGTACGACTTATCTTTTTGAGCTAGACTATTCATATACATACCAATTTGCGGGACTGGATTCTTTGAACTCAGGGGACCTCAAAACATGGATTTCCGTTGAAAACGCAGTTTCAAAAATTTTCACAATCGCAATACTTTCGATATAAAGTAAGTAAAGGACCCTTAATATATGTTACATATATAGATAAGCGTAAATAAAAAGTGGAATTTCAAGAATTAACATTAATTAATAACAAAAAGAGTAAGTTGCTAAGCTAATTCCATCGATAGATTCCATTAATCGATTCAAAGCAGAAACGATGACAGCGATTTATGCTCAGTTTAGAAACGACCAGATAGTTTTCAGCGAAAAGTTAACCCTCCTAGTAAGTTACCAAACATATGAAAACTATAAAAATGTATAAAGAACTATCTGTTTACCGAATTGGTGAATTTCTAAACCGGTATACCATAAAAAGGCTAAGTTCCTTAACACAGCGCTGAACTCATCTATGGCGTCGTTTCGCCCAGTTTAGAGAGGGCTCCGGTGCATTCGATGAGCACAGCGCTGAGTTTAGGAGAACTTGGCGATATGAAAAAAAAAGTAAACAACATGTGAAGTGAATTTAGATATAACAACACTGAGGTTTCATCCAATAGATCCATCGACCCCAAAAACCGATGGAACCGCTAAGCCATCGCTGATTCAATCGATGATTTTAGAAACTTGCCCAAATATTTATATGATGGTAGGAAATAATATTTGCTAGATTTCTTAGAAATATAATCTCTGAATTCGGTCAAGTTTTATTAAACCCGAATTATTACTTAAGTCAATTGTGACCACAGGCGGATTTACGGGGGGAGGACTTTTGGGCTGAAGCCCCCTCCCCTCCCAAGACCGTAAAATATAACCATGTTTTATAGAAAACAATATTTAAAACTATCTCTTAAAGTATTATTGTTCGTGTAATTACATTAATTAGGACTTCAAGAATCACTGAAACACAATTTCATATAGGTAGTTAGTATCTTTCTTTTTTTTTCAAATTAATTATCTTATATATAAGAAAAAAATCTTTCGGGCTGAAGCCCCTCCCAAAATTAAATCCTGGATCCGCTAGTGATTGTTACAAAGTTAATGTCCCTTTCTGAGATGATTTTGTTTCATTTTTTATGTTCTTGATAACGAATTATTTACTTGAAGAGAAAAGCATTCCAAGCTAAATTGTCAGAGATTTGATAATTGGGAGAAACCTTGTAGTGTAAACAGAGAGAATTGTTCATGTTAAGTCGACTGTAAAGCATTAAATAAGGAAATCAAATGATACGTCATGTGTTAACAGCAAATCTTTCTTAGAATCAAAGGAGGAAACTGGCCAATTCCTCATACTCAAAACACAGATGTTTCGTTTTTTTTTTGTCTAAGATTTTACTAATGTTTTGTAGACAAATATTTGCAAATATCTGGACATTAGGAAGGCTTTACTAATTTTGTCTTCATAAAATTGATGATAATAAAAATAGAAGGCTTAGAGAACCCAAAGATTGGATGCCAATATCTCCATTACATTGATATAATTAGATATTTAGTTGAGCTTTAATTGATTATATAGTCAATTAAATGAGATTCGAAATGAAAAAAAAAGAATAGAATTTTTTTTTACGAAATTGTAAAATATATTTGTTTAAGCAAAATCGCAAAATAGATCAAAAAAAAGATCCTATAGGATTTTTTATTTTAAATCTACTACTCAAGATCGGCATATATTTATTGAGAACTCTGCATTCCCAGGAACAGAAAAAAAGGCTAAATCCTAAAATTCAGGGCCCTGATAATTACCAACAGATTACTAAATTATAAACAATTTTAATACAATTAATTTTCGGATGAACATTAAACAATACATATAAAATAAAACAATGCATTACGGCAATTATTTCTTCTTTATAAATATAATAAAATAATTTGTTGTTTTTTTTTAAACTACAAAAAATTACTTACTCCCCACATGACGCCAACTCCTGAGATTACATCACTAATCAGGGATTTCATCAGCTATCGATACATTTCTATGTTATTTATTCAAGTATATATTTATAGGTGGGGGAACAGTCATAAGATAAATCTTTTAGCGGTACATTAGTCCAGTCAAGGAATGAGGTATAGAGTGCGTGAGCAGGGACCTCAGCAATTAGGAAATTTAAGTCACTACAACTTCTCTTGCTGATGTATAGCTTAGACGATATGAAAGAAAGTTTGATGAAAAATTTGAGATAAAATGTTTGCACTTATTATTCACTGGTCTATCTCTGTTAGTTGATCATTTATTGAGGTTATTGTGGAGCCGAGGTATTTGAATCTGTCTACTTTCGGGAACAATTTGGAGTCCACGCAGATCATGTTATTAAGGTGAATGTTTCGGTTATCATATACTTTTTTTTATCTACATTGACTTGTAGTCCGATTTGCTCTACTTCTCTTAACAGAGTCCGAGCAGGTCTCACAAAATCCTCTTGATTGATTCCAAGGACAGCTGATCTATCCTATCTAGGATAGGAGCCAGCTAAGCTATTCTAATACGCTAGGATTTTCTGTTTCATTCCGAAATACACCTCCATTTTCGTGTGATGTTCTTATTAATTTTTCTAGGGCTAAGTTGAACAGCATTGGTGAGAGTCCATCTCCCTGCCTCAAACCCGTTCGAACTTCAAAGGCTTCTGATACTTCTCCTTGTATTAGGAATCTGCATTTAGGACCACTTGTACATGACTTCCTGGGAACACCTAGCTCAGTCTTGATCTTCCAGAGACAGTTTCTGTCCAGGGAGTCATAGGCTGCTTTGAGGCTACTGTAAATTTATGGAATTTCCATTCTGTTTTGAGGACACAGGTTTTAACAAACTCCTTTGAAGTATTCATTGGAAAAATCTATTGCTTAAACATCTCCTAAAATTGAATTCCACTTTGGTAATTCTTTTTTTTTTTTTTTTGCTAACGTATCAGAAAAAATTATGTGCAATCCCAAAAATCAATTAGTAAAATCAAGTAATTATTACAGGTCGTTTCAACAACTGAGACTTTTTTTACATCATGAAAACAACACTTTATGAAAAAAATTAAGTGATTCTTTCTTGTTTATTTTTTATTGAATGTCTAAGATCAGTCTTTTTTTTTTATATATATTTACTTTGTCTTTGATAGATCTCAAATATTTACATCAAAAGATATAGAAAGTAGTATTCCATTGGGACTTAAATTTCTTTCAACTCAGAATTCTTTCTTTAAGAAAACAAAAAACTTTTTTTATCACTGAAACTCATAGATTAGGTACTATAAAAGAAAATACATATAAGCTCATTTTTATCTTTTATGGTATTGAATGGTAAATATATATAATTAAATGTTTCATTTATTTAATATGTAGTTACTTGATATTAACTGCAATAATAATTATTGCATTATTATTATTGACAGTTATTATCAGACTGCATGTTATCTTGCTTATCAATTTCTCAAACGATAAATTCAGTTGATATACTTCA